GGGCTTGCAAGTACCACAAAAGTCATATTATAAATTTTCACAGTGATACAAAAAATTGGTTTTGGTTTCAAGTCCTCTAAACATTTATTTAAGCTATTAAAGGTTACGACATACAAAAATACGACCCTTACGACATCGTTGTGAATACTTCAAATATTAGCGAGCAGGTAATGTGTAGTTTTGAAGCTACAAGCTAAACAAAGAATTTAAAACACACTTAAGGATGTATTTTCTTCACGTTATCTCAACAGCTCCCGTTATCTCAACAACTCCTGAGTGCGAGTTCGACTACCAAGACAAGAAACAAATAAAATGTATGTAATTTAATAAGCTATAAACCATATTTTGAATAACCAAATACGAGTCTACCTATATTTACTATTTCGTCCATTTTTCGTCTTCATACTACATCCGTTAATTTTTGCACCATATTTTACAAAAGTACATACTTACATACATTAATACGTACATATCTATCTACTCTACCTTGGGATGTTATTACTCGAGCACGGGCTAGGTCGGCTTTGTTTCCCACTAGAATGACAGCCTTATCTTTGATGTAGTTCTCCTGCCACAGGTACTTAACTATTTCCTCTGCTGCACGGAACGACGATTTTTCGACCACAGAGAAGACGACAACACAGCCATGCGGCTCATATGTTGATAGACAATTTTCAACCTGTTTTGAAATGATGATAAATGATCAAATATGTAATTAAGAAATTTTTCGTATTATGTATATCCGACAAATACCAGTGCAAAAAATGTGGCATGAACATGAGAAGCTGTTTTTCATGGCAGAAATACACTCGGAGGTTTGCCATTGCCAGCCGTGGGGCGGCCGCTGTTAAGAAAAAAGCTCTTTCTACATTTCTTTGCGATGCTGCTTTGACGAGGGCTTGAACCCAGGCCCTGCGGAGTGGAAGCACGCACTGCTTACCACTACACCACAGCACTTTATTATACTAAAATTGAATGCACTATAAAGCTACTCGAAATCTTTCTAGGAAATCTAAATAACAATATCGCAATTTTGATGAACATTTTTTTAAGTTTACTTAGTTTTTATGAACTTTGTGCATGCTTTGGAACTTTTATTTATGAGGGATGTTATAAAGATCGACCCATATTTTAAACGAAAATAATTAACATTAAATAAAACAAGTAAGAAAGTCTAAGTTCGGGCGGAGCCGAATATTAAATACCCGGTGCAAATATTAAATATATGTTTTCCACCTTTCCGAAAAGCTACCGCTACATGATAAGCGGGTGTATACATTTTAAGTATACTAGCATCCTTAAATTTCGAAATATTGAAATCAAATAAAACACCTCTTTGAGGTAAAATTTTCGAGTGACGAAAGCTGAACTAGAAACACAAAGGCAGCGTTTCTTTATACATTCCGGATAATCCCATTTCACAGCCGGAATAAACAGAATGCTTTTGAAATATACGTCAACATATCATCAGGAACGTTCTTAAGAATAAATAAACAAAAAAGTTTATTCCAAACGTTCAGAATGAATAAAGAAATGCAGCCAAAATTTATGATATCAATTTCGTGACGAAAATTATACGCATTTTTTAACTGCCTTGGGAACGTAGGCAAAATCTTTTTTACTCATACGAATCGTTGCAAAAGTTCTGTTTTTTGTTTTGTGTTTCTAGCAGTAGACGGATTTTCACAACGTTCCGAATAAATAAAAAAAGATTTTCTGTACGTTTCAAATGCAGTTAAAAAATGCGTATATTTTCATCACGAAATTGATATCATAAATTTTGTGTTTCTAGTTCAGCTTTCGTCACTCGAAAATTTTACCTCAAAGAGGTGTTTTATTTGATAAAAATCGACGAAAATACAAACAATAATCTAAATGTTTTTTTTTTCTTAAATAAACTGCTAAAAATATTATGTAAATCTAAATTATGTATTCAAATCGATGTGTCCATTGAAACATATAATTTTTCGAATACGGAATAAAGCGAAAAAGAATGATCATCCTTTGTATTCGAAAAAAAATAAGTGCGCCTGGGCCACACTGTAGAAGTGAAACTTACGTTACTTATCTATCTATACATACACACATCTGCTTTTGTTTAAGGTTATATTTTTTCCCTTTTTTTT